GGGACGGTCCCGATAAAATCAGGACGTCTGGTCACCCTACCCTCATCATGAGCAGGTCGGTCTGTGTCAAAATGGCCGCCAGCTCTTGGGTGGGTGGTTTCTTCTTTGGCATGGTGCACACTGGCATCACCATGAGGCTGCCCTACTGTGGCCCAGATGAGATCAACCACTTCTTCTGTGAGGTGCCAGCCATTTTGAAGCTGGCTTGTGAAGACACACGGGTCACTGAGGTGGTGCTTTTCGTGATGGGGGTGATACTGCTCATGACCCCGGTCTTCTTGATCCTGGTTTCTTACGTGTTCATCCTAGCGGCCATTTTGAGGATCTCCACAGCGGAGGGGAGGTTGAAGGCCTTCTCCACCTGCACTGCGCACATCACCATGGTTACACTCTTCTATGGTGCTGCCATGTTCATGTACATGCGTCCTGTCTCCAGCTACTCACCTGAGAGGGACAAATACTTCTCTTTGTTTTACAGTGTGGTGTCTGCCCTCCTGAATCCTCTCATCTACAGCCTGAGAAACAAGGATGTCAAAGGAGCTCTGGTCAAATTGATGGGTAAAAAATGACCTTTGCATCAAGGGGGAAGAAGAATTGTCATGTGGTTCAGGACTCCTGGGTTCTGGTCCCAGTTCTAGGATAGGAGTGGGGGATAGTGGTTACAGCCAGTAGGAGTAGAAGTCAGGACTCCTGGGTTCTTTTCCCAGCTTTTGGAGGAGAGAAGTGTCCAGTGGCTGGACCAGGGAGGAGTTGGGATTCAGGACTCCTGGGTTCTATTCACCATTCCAGGAGGGAATGGGGATCTAGTGAGTTAGAGCAGTGGGCACTAGGTATCATAACTCCTGATTTCTATCCCTCGCTGTGGCCCAGAATAACTGTGTGACACTGGGAAAGTAAGGCACAGAGAAAGGGAATGAGCTGTGTTCAAAACCCAGGACTCCCCCTGACTGCCTGCCATACTGCCTCTCAATTTTGAGTTGTTTAAGTTAATAGAGCTGCCCTGTTATACGTCAGGGAGCTAATGACAAGACATTTTAAGTGAAGGCTCCTTAACTATAGAAATCACTGCTCCATCCATTGTGTTTGGACTGACATCCTTAGATGGTTTAAGGCAATACAAGGTGTATCTATTCCCTAAGGTGAAATTCACTCCTGTGTAAAGATCCAGCGGAAGACCTATGTGCCATGAAAGGACAGAATTTGCATTGTTTTAAAACTGGTGCAAACGCCTATGTGGACACATTTATGTTGGTTTATAAGGCAGATGTATACTAATAGAATGGTGTCAATACACAAAGTTGCAGAAGTAAATGCTTCATTAAATTATGTGCCAATCAGAGCTTAATTGAACTTAAACTCTCAAAATAGGATGTAAATGGTGCATAGGTATTTTCCTGGCCCTTTGCTTGGCTGTGAGTTTCAGCCCAAATCTTTGGGAAGAGGTTGATTTTGTGGAGAATAAGTGGGCCAGTTATTAGTAGGGCTGGATTGCATGGGCAGGGACACATTCATTAACAATCCAGTTTATGTTTGTTGGCTTGTATGTTTATGTTAAATATGCATATAGAGACACTTTATATAAATAAAACTAATTAATTCATATTAATGACGAGCTCCAATAGGGATTTTTTTCATCCCTACACGTCAAAGCAGGTAACTATTATTAACCACCTTTTACAGTTGGGGAAATTAAGGCACAGGGCCTGCAGTGTCTAGCTTTAGGCAAATCCACCAACCAGTCATATAGCCAGGAATAGAACCCAGGGCTGTTGAGACTAAGTTCAGTGCTCAATACATTAGGTGACTTTTCAAGTATTTACCAGTGATAGAACAATTTTGATTTATTGCCACACTTACCAAATAATTCCATTTAAATTTTCTTCAAAATTGCTGATCTCCCTTCAAATCTCTCCCCAGGCATGTCTGTTCTGCAGAGTTCACTTGAGTGACTGGCACCTGGGTCTGAGCACAATATGAAAAGTAAAATACAAATTTAAAAAATGTAAACGTGACCCATTTTTTTTCTTTTTCACAATTTACCATTTGGAACAAAGAAAAGAAGTGTGAAAGAGTATGGTTGACCTACTTTCTTACATATTTTATATATTCTACCTTTTGAAGAAGTAAAAAAAGCAAGGTAGGAACTTGGGGGAAAATGAAAATTCAAAATCTGAAAACAGAAAACAAAAATTTGGCAGGTTCCAAAAGTCAAAATGAAATGATATTTTTAATTCCAAGTTTGGAATGTAGGACATTATTCAAAATTTGCAATTCATAACAGAGCACATATTCTCTTTCAAGAATATGAGTTCTAACAATAAAATAAAAAACATCAAATGTTTAGAAACTCAGGAAATGCAGTTTTAAAGTTGTGTTTCTCAAACAAGGCACCCAAACGGTCTAAATTCTGACCCACTAGAAATGCCAGCTGATTACATTCTCTTCTTTGTAGAAGATAAAATGTATGTATAACAGCAAATTGGCTTTGCTACTTGTTTTTCTTTTAAACATTCTCTAATAAAATTTAAACTTGTCTCATGCTGAATGTACTGCAAGTTCACTGCACTAATCTTTGTTATTTACATGCATTTGCTCCACTTTCATGATCTGAATTATTGGCAGTATATGCAGCCAGTCTAGCTTTTCCTCATATGACATTTAGACAATCGGAAGCATAGCGCCAGAAGGTGTGATGCAATGAGGTACTTTGTGTCATGAGCACCTTGCAGGACAGATACTTTAATAAAGACTGGGTATTGTGTGCCTTTGTTATGCTGCTCATCTAAGCAATTTCTTGTATGCTGCATACTGTCAATGTCTGTGAGCTTGTCTATATGTACAGTGCTGCACCAGCTCAGCTGAATCGCTGTAACGCTTAGTGAAGATGCTAACTATGCTGACGGGTGACCTTCTCCCATATTCCACCTCCCTAGATTGACCAATTTAGGTTGGACATATTCCTGAAGGTTTCATCACATGACATAATCTTTAATTAAAGCTTCACCTTTAATTCCTGGAGACTCCAGGACAGACCCCGAGAGACAGTAGCTGTGTTGACAGGCGAAGTCCTCCCATAGACCTAGTGCAGTCTACACCAGGAGTTTGGTAGGTATAACTGCATCCACACCCCTGAGCAATGTGGTTATACTGAGATAAATCCATATTGTAGACTAGGGCTAAGAAAAAGGCTGTAAAGCACCATGACCATTATTCAATTCAGCAAAAGTGGCGTAAAAGACTAGAGAACATGAGGAAATGGTGGGGAAAGTGAATGCTTTTCAAGGAAGAATAGAGGGCAGTCAGATTCAGATGTGTCTGATGGCAGATGAAAGGGGCAGGGCCTCCCAACACCCTGTCACAGCCGCACCAGGTCTCCCTCTGTGTCTCTTTACAGCAAGTTCAGCCAAGCCAGATGGAGGTGTATTCTGGTTTCTGATTATTCTGGTCTCCAATCAGCTGTCCAACCTTGTCTCCTCCCTTTGCACTCAGTACATAGCCGTAGAAAGCACCGAAGGAAACTGAGGCACATGACTCACAAAAATATTGCCAACATTTCCACATTCATCACACAGCCGTACTTCCCTTGTTCCCAAGTCCCAAGTGTCTGGAAGTTGTTGACTCCACCCAAAGCGAGCCTGGGACTGTGCTCAGCACATCCTACAATAATGCCGATGATTCAATGTGTCAGCAAATTCCCCATATTTCATCAGTCACACAACTAGGACTTCCTTGTAGGAACACCCACACTACCTTTGTTCCCAAATCGCACGTACGCTGCACCTGGCCCCTGTTGTATTAATGACGATGGAATAAATGGGTCCGAAGAGCCAAAGGTGTCAACATGACCCTAAAACTGTCCAACATTAAACAGCTTTAAACAAGGTCTGGGGTTTGGTATATAAAGACCTTAGTTTGCTTAGCACCATGGCAAACACACCATTAAACAGCCTTTTGACTTTTTACAGCAGTATTGCAAAATATATTGTCTCAGCCAGCTAAGCCAGACTTTTTATAAACAGAAGACAAAAGATGGGTAGGAAAAAGAAGAAATGAGGTGGAGAAGATAAAGGACACACGGGAGTGAGGGTGGTCCCGGGTCCACAGGATTGGTGCTACACCCCCAGCTTTGGAACAGTCTCTAGGAGGAACCCCTTCAGTATGCCAGACCCCAAAGGGTTCTCACTCCTCCCACACAGAGTAGGCCATGTGGCCTCATTAGCTTCTTGATAGAACCTCTGATCTTCAGCCCTCCTGCTTCCCCCTGTGAGCTCTGTACAGCGAGTCCAACGGAGACAGACTCCTCATCGAGACCTGTCCACTCTTTGGGGGTTAATGCACGTCATCCAACATTTGCAGTGACACTCACACAGTGACACTCAAAACAGTCGAGTTTATTAATGAACTGGAACACAACCTAGGAAGTCCTTCGATTAATTAAGCCAGTGCTTAATTTGTGCCAAGGCTGAACATAAGAAGAACATAAGAACGGCCATACTTGGTCAGACCAAAGGTCCATCTAGCCCAATATCCTTTCTTTCGAGAGTGGCCAATGCTGGGTGCTTCAGAGGGAATGAACAGAACAGGGCAGTTATCAAGTGATCCATCCCTTGTCGCCCAGTCCCACCTTCTGGCAAACAGCGGCTAGGGACACCATCCCTGCTCATCCTGGCTAATAGCCATTGATGGACCTATCCTGCCTAGGCTTGGCAGTTCATATCCCCGGCTCCTCTGGCATTGCTGCATCAGTTATGAATGTAAAAAAATTGCTTGCGTCCTGGCACCTCTTTCATTACATATGAAGCACTGATTAAAGCCTAGTCCATTCTGGTGAGCTCAGAGCCCAGACAAGCTGTAGAGAACCCCATTTTTCAAACTCTGTCTGTCTCTTCTTCTGACTTCCTTGGTCAGATCCAGGTGAGAGCCCCAACTCCTTCCAGCAGCCAACTCATCCTCTCACCTCACACCTTCACAGTTCTTGAACTGAGCTATGTTGTTCCATTTCCCTGCTAAGAGGTGGGAAAATCCATCTCCTTCTGGGTCCTTGGCTGCAAAGTGTCAATGTCCTGGTGATTGGCTTTGCCATTGTCTTCTCAGATTCTCCATTGACAAGGTGTTGGCCTTGGCCAGTCCTTTGCAATGATTCTTTCAGTCTCAGACAGCTAGGCCTCATTCATACCTATGTCTCTTAGTCTGTCCTGAGAGTAAACCATCCCCCACCCCACGTGGTAACAATGCAAAACACAGGGGAAACTGAGACATGTCTAGGATTCATAAAAAATATTACAGAAAATTTCCACTTTGTTGGTGGGGGAAACACAGGCTTACCTCACAGATCATTTTCAGGACTTATCAGGAGCCGGTGGAGGTGGTGGTGTCATCTGGTCCCTCTCCCTAATCTGGTCTGGTCAGGGCATCTCACAGGATCTGAATGACAATGGCCTAGTGATGTTACATCTTTCAATCAGCCAGCATCCCTGACCCCATCTTCTAATTTTCATCCCAATGTCTCTTTTTCTAAGGACCCCAAAGGTGAGTGATGGATGGAATAGCTGGTCCCCATCGTTATTTTGTCCATCAATTAGGCCTAATTTCTGACACACCAATTTTGGTTCATTGATTTCCTGTCCCAAATTTCTCTTGTTTACCAGAAATGATCTTAACACAGTCCTTGAGCTGTATCAGTATGCCTTTTCATTTGGACTAGTTCAGTCATTCCATCTCCCTTTTTGCACTGTTTCCCATCTACATATATGTGATTGGAACATTTTGTAAAGTTGTATTCACTTTTCCACAGTTGAGCTCACAGTCACCTTAAATGTGTAGGCGCATTTATTACAACACATCCCCATGTCAGTCTTGGCACATTACGTACAAAGGTATGCAAGACGATTTAGATAATTAGAGAGTAAGTAGAAGACAGTAATTGTTGAGAGCATCAAAGCCTTTAGTTCAATTGCTTGGAGTTCTCACAGTGCCACTGAATATACATAACACACATTCATCATTGTGCCCAGTTGCTTGCAGAAGCTGCAGCATGGACAAAAATATTGGCATGGAACTCAAACTGAGATGGAGCAGCAAATTAAAACTAGGATGGTCAAAATTTGTTAACCTTCTGGAAAAAGAAAGGCTTGGTGAAAATGAAGTTTATTATTTTTTACTAAATATTTCAACTTTTTATTGGAAAATTTCAAAATGGAATGAAACAAAAATATCTTTTCATTTCCAATTGGCATTTTAAATATGTCAACATTTTTAATATTTCAAGAATTTAGATTAAATTCTCAGTTTGTTTTGGCTTTTAGAAACTAAAATTTTCAGTTTTCCGCCTTTGTTTTGATTGGATTTTAAATTTCTTGCTTGCTTGCTTCTCCCCTCCCTCCAGGGAAAAATTGTGGAAAAAATACAAACAAGAGAGAGGGAAGGATAAAACACAAATGTCTGGAAATTTTTTTTTTTTAATATGAGAAAGTGGTGGAAATACATTTAGCATTTTCTTTTTATTAATTGGAAAAATGAAAAAGATGATTTTTTAAATAATAAGTTAAATAAGGTTTAAAAGACAACAAATTAAAAAAAATGTTTTCTTATCTTTTCACTTGGAAAATAGTAAAGATGTAGATGTATTTTGACCTATTTTTTAAACATTTCCTTCCTTTTGAAAAAATGGAAAAAAAGAGAGAAAGGGGATATTTTTTTTTTGGTCCGTTTCCAAAATCCAAAACAAAATGATATTTTAATCAAAAATGTGGTACATTATTCAAAATTCACCATTCATGGTTCTTGCATATTACCTTTCAAGAACATTAGAGTGCAACATCAAACAAAATAAAACTTAGCGTGTGCCTTTGCTATGCTGCTTGTCTGAGCAGTAATTTGTATGGTGTGTACTGTGAATGTCTGCAAAGAAGGCGGTAAAACACTACAATCACTATTCAGTTAAGTAGGCATGACTTGCAGGACAGAGAGGCTATGGGTGTAGGAGGAGATGGCAGGAAATGTGGGTGATTTCCAGGGAAGAATCATAGAGTTACAACATTTAAGGCCAGACGAGCCCACAAGATCAGCTTGTCTGACCTCCTGTATATCTCAGGCCACCAACACTACCCCGCCCCCGCACATTAAACCCCAGCAACCACAATGACACCCAAGTATTACAGCCCTCAGGAAACTAGACTATTATGGGCCACAGGCAAAGAATAAAGGGACCAAGGTGCACCAATGCAAAGGCAGGGAAATGATTAAGTGAGATATACCCAAGTAATCCTGGGTTATGACCCACACCCATATGCCATCGAGGAAGGTGAAAAAGCCCCAAGGTCACTGCCAACCTGACCTGGGGGAAAATTCCTTCCCAACCCCACATATGGCGACCAGTTAGACCTTGAGCCTGTTCACAAGAACCAGCCAGCTAAGCACCTGAGAGAGAGACAATGATCAGTGCCAACTCAGATCCCTCGTCCACTCTACTCAAGGCCTCATCTCCAGCCATGGCCCTCTCTGAGTCTTCAGAGGAAGGAGATTTTTAAAAGTCCCTTCCTGACCCCTGCCAGTGGCCATCTGAAACCCTGAAGCATGAGCTTTGGGAATAGAAGATATAAACCAGAAGTGAGTCCTGGGTTTGCTGAGCCCTGCCTCCCACCATCACATGCAACCCCATCATACAACTTCACTCTTAAATTTGGCCAGCTCTCACTTAAAACCAATTACATTGTTTGCCCCCACAACTCCTATTGGGAGGCTGTTCCAGAACCTCACCCCTTTGATGGTTAGAAACCTTCTTCTATTAGAAGTCTGCATTTCTTCATGATCAACTGATATGCATTTGTTCTTCATCCTTTAGCTTAAATAACTCTTCACCCTCCCTGGTATTTACCCTCCCCGCCCCCCCAATATATATATAGAGAGAGTAATCATGCCCTCTCAGCCCTCTTTTTGCTAGACTAAACAAGCCAAGCTCTTCCAGTCTTGTCTCATAAGATAGGCCTGCCATTCCCCTGATCATCCTAGTAAATCTTTTCTGCACCTGTTCTAGTTTAAGTTGAACATGGATGACTAGAAATATACACTATATTTCAAATGAGGTCTTGCCAGTGTTTTGCACAATGGCATTAATACATCTCTCTCTCTCTCTCTCTCTCTCTCTCTC